ATTCTGTAAGATCTTATCGATGGGGACGACAGGCTGCAAGCAAGAGGTGCGCTCTTTGTCCACAGGTTAACTCATTCCACGGGTGTTCGAACACATGGGCATGGTTTTCTTTGGGCACGTGTGTGTGCACGCGTGCTCAAGCGGTGTCGGCTCTTATACTTAGGGTTAGAGAGAAAAAACATTCAGGCGCTGTTTGCTCCTAATTACTCTCCAGAAATCTGCTGGAAGTTTCCAGGACTGGGGGCGACTGGGTGAGGACAAACTTGTCTCCTGAAGGCAAACAGCCCAGTAGCAGATGGTGTTGAGGCTCACATGATGGGAGTGCTGGGGAAGATAAGGGGGTCAGACACGTTCAAACTGGAAGAAGAACTTGAAAGCCTAACGGAGGTCTGTAGAGTAGTGGTTGGAGCAATCGCTTGGAAGTTTGAGGAACCTGGGTTCGATTCCCAGAGAAGGGCAAAACCTTAGGCAAGTTTCCGTACTCCACATGCCTCTGTTTCCCAGCGGTAAGTAGGAACCCGGTTGTTAGGTCGATTAGTCATAATAATCCAGAGCAAAAAAATTGGGTCGTTCAGTCCACGGCTGTTTGTGGACACGCCTGCCTCGTTTCGCCCCAGAATACACAGTCACTCCACTTTACAGTGTATCCTATGAAGCACTTTGCAATGTCTCAAGGATATGCTGAGATGCTGCATCAAAACCATGATTATTATTATTACTATTGTCGTCGTGTTTCCCCGTGTTGCTGGTGAAGGGAGCTGTGAGTGACCGGTGCTGGTGTGTGTTGTGTTGGCTGCTGTCTGTGCTCGTGGTGATTGATGTGCGTTCGAGGCAGTGTCCAGTCTCTAATGGTGCGTGTAATGGCTGTGTTATTGCAGGATTGATGGCGTGTGCTGGTTAATGGTGTGTAGAACTAGGCAGAGCATTGGCACTTATGGGCCAGGACACGGGTTGGGAGTGGGGGTGGTGGTGGGGGGGGTTCAAGTCTGACCCGTGTATCGCCACCAGGTATGGGTGGGGGTGCGGGGTGGTTGGGGTAGGGGGGGTGAGGCTTCTCTCGTCTTGTTTTGGGAAGCGCTTCCTTACTCCACACGTGCCTCTGTTTACCAGCAGTCAGTAGGAACCCGGTTGTTAGTCGGTTGGTGGATCGCTTTCCGGGAGTAATAATCCCTCAAAAAAAAATCAAGTCACTCAGTTCACGCCTGATTGTGGGGACGCTGTTGTGCGCAATTGGCTGCCGCGTTTCGCCCACAAAATACACAGTGACTACACTTTTCCAGCATGTCACGTGAAGCGCTTTGGATTATTATTATTATTGTTATTATGATTGTAGAAAACCCAGGACGCAGGAGGAGGCCACTCGGCCCAAAGCCTGCGCTGGTATTGGCTTGTCCGCAGCTTGTGGAGACTAATCCCTCCAAAAAAATTAAAAAAAACAATAATAAATTGGTCATTTTCAATCTACGACTGTTTGTGGGACATTGCTGTGCGCAATTGGCTGCCGCCTTCGCCCACAAATATACAGTCAATTCACTTTACAGTATGTTCTGTGAAGCGCTTTGGGACGTCCTCCCGACGTGAAAAGCGCTATATCAAATGCAAGGATTATTATTATTAATATTATTATTGGCGTCAATGGCGGTGATCAAACCCAGTGTCCTGGCCTCTGTCAGGAACTCTCTCTCTGTGTGAACGCGCCTGAGGCTGAAGCTTTATTCCCTGTGTCTCTCTGTTGATTCCTCACATTCCTTTGGCAATGTAAGCGACTGGCGAGGTCTGGACCCTCCCCATGAAGTGTTCCCTCCCCCCCCCACCCCCCACCAACCCCCTCCACTCCCGCTCTGAGCCCGATGGTACAGCCTGGGATGTCCACCTCTACAGGTACAGACAGGACCTCGGTTTAACGTCTCGTCTGATGGATGGCATCTCCGACAATGCCGCATTCCCCCACTCCATCCCCCCAATCTCCAACCTCTCCCCCCCAGACTCCCAGCATTAAACTGAGAGTCAGTCTAGACTGTGAGTTCAATTTCCTGACATGGGGCTTGAACCCACACGAGTGAATCGTGATAAAGCCCGAGAATGGCGGAACAGGCTCGAGGGGCTGAATGACCTACTCCTGTTCCTATGCTAGTAACTGACCGACTGAAGCCCTGGATCACCAGACAGACACAGACACAGATACAGACAGACAGACACACACAGACAGACACACACACACATGGACAGACACAGACAGACAGACAGACAGACACACAGACACACAGACAGACACACAGACACACAGACAGACACAGAGACAGAGAGAGAGAGAGAGAGAGGCCGGGATGTGATACTTTGGTCAGATGGGATCGGCTGATCAACTCAGTTTCACTCAGTGTCATTCTAAACCTTGGCCGCATGTGGTTGTCACTTCCTGTTCAGTCGAGAGTCGGACGATCAACACCCGGAACATTTTGTGTTATTGATTGTGGTTATGAGATGGGACGGGTGGAGCGGGCGGGGGGGAGGGGGGAGGGGGGGCCGAACGAGTTGGGAGGGGAAGTGGAGAGAATGAGAGAACGGGATGGATGGGATGATGACAGGGAGGTTACGGGAGGTCTGATGGGATGAGGATGGTGGGGGTGGGGGGAATGTGGCGGCTGTGTGATTTGCCCCCCCCCCCATTCCAAGCCAGACAGCGCTCTGTCTTTGGCCTTCACTGTGGGGAGAGACCAAGTGCTCCACACAGTTCAAAGGGTTGATGTACAGGGCTGTATATGTCTATTATTATTGTTATTATTACTATAGGGTTGAGGTGCTGTGTATACGGAGTTAAGGTGCTGTGTATACGGAGTTAAGGTGGCGTGTGTACGGGGTTGAGGTGGTGTGTGTACGGGGTTGAGGTGGTGTGTGTACGGGGTTGAGGTGGTGTGTGTACGGGGTTGAGGTGGTGTGTGTACGGGGTTGAGATGGTGTGTGTACGGGGTTGAGGTGGTGTGTGTACGGGGTTGAGGTGGTGTGTGTACGGGGTTGAGGTGGTGTGTGTACGGGGTTGAGGTGGTGTGTGTACGGGGTTGAGGTGGTGTGTGTACGGGGTTGAAGTGGTGTGTGTACGGGGGTTGAGATGGTGTGTGTACGGGGTTGAGGTGGTGTGTGTACGGGGTTGAGGTGGTGTGTGTACGGGGTTGAGGTGGTGTGTGTATGGGGTTGAGGTGGGGTTGACGTGACTGCTGGAGTCGAACCAAGCTGGAAGCACATCGCTTGCCCATTGAGAGCACTGCTTGTCCAGCTTGGACAACCTTACCAGTTGGCTTGTGGTGGGTGGGGGGTTGGGGGGGTGAACAGGAGCTGAGAGGGAGGATTCCCAGCCCCCAGTGACTGGTCTGGCCCTTCCAAGTGCTGCTGATGAGCCCGACTGGGCTGCTTTCAGCAACAACAACAACAACAACGACGACGATGACGACTTAGCTGGAGTGATGTCTCGGAGCGCCGGGATCCTAGCTCAGGAACCGGACAACCGAGACCGCCACAGAGAGCTGGAGACGTCTCCTGTACACTGCGTGTGGATAAGGACATCCTCCCCGACCCGCAAGGCGCTATATAAACACACGTTGTTGTTGTTGTTGTTGTTAAGGGGCGGTGGCAAGGCTGACACTGCACTGACCTGCTCACTGCTGCCCGCTGGCCCTCGCCCCCAGGAAGGGCAGCCCGTCTCGGTCGCAATGACACCGCGTCTGTCTGAGCGAGAGAGAGAGAGAGAGAGAGAGAGCGAGAGGCTGGCAGGATGGACTCCTGCGCTCCGCTGAGTTAGCTGGTCACGGTGGGCGTGTGCGTGGGTGTGTCTGCGTCTGTACGTGAGAGAACAGACGTGCGTACGTGGTGTGTGGTTGTGTGTGTGTATACACACACACGTGCACTTCATGCTCAGTTAATATTGTGTGTGACTTTCCTTAACATCCATCTCCCTCCCTCCCTGCTCTTACTCCATCACTCTACACCCTCACACTGCGCAGAGAGAGAGTCACCTACAGAGTGAGAGATGCTCCGTTCCACCTCCCCACCCCCCTCTCTCTCTCTCTCTCTCTTTCTCTGCCACACTCTCGCCCTCCTCTCCTGACACCAGCACAGCCTTGTGCTCTCAGCCTCGTGAGTGCACATAGAGGTCTCCTTGTGGGGTTGTTGGTCTGAGCTTCACATACACTGTGATCATTATCACGGCTCTGTCTCGTACGGTACAGAGTTGAACTGACAATGCGATTGAGCCCTGTGTGTGTGTGTGTGGGTGTGTGTGTGCGTGTTGGGGAGTGTGCGTCACTGTGCGAGGGGTGCATTGTGAGAGGTCTGTGGATCTGCATGTAACGAGCAGGGGTCCTGTAGCTCAGTGGTTAGAGCACTCGCCTCGCAAGCGAGAGGACCCGGGTTCGATTCCCGGCCAGGGGGCGAAACCTTAGGCGAGTTTCCTTACTCCACGCGCCTCTGTTTGTCCGGCAGTGAGTAGGAATCTGGTTGTGAGTCGATTGGCGGATCGCTTTCCGGGGGTAATAACCCCTCAAAAAAATTGGTCGCTTCAGTCCACGACTGTTTGTGGGGACGCTGCTGTGCGTAATTGGCTGCCGCATTTCGCCCACAAAATACACAGTCAATTCACTTTACAGTATACCCTGCGTAGCGCTTTGAGCCATCCCAATAACTCGATAAGGTGCTGTATGAAATGCCAGGATTATTATTATTATCATTATAACCGACTGTTACTGTCGTCCTATGATGTGCGTCTAACTCGCGAGGTTGGCAAGAGGATTTCTAAAACGGTGACTCCCGAGCGTGTGCGGTGTGATCTGAAACCTCACCCGAGCCAGGCTTGCACGTCTCGCACGATCTTGTGCAAAAATTCCTAAACGCAATCCACCACCCCCCCCCTCCCTCCCCGCCCCCCCACTATCGGGGACACGGGGGTGGGGGGGTGTGGGGGGGTGGTCTGGGTACGATCCCGTGATAACCTGAGGTCGTTCTCTCACCAGGGTGCGGCTGACTCCCAGGGGGGTAATTCCTTACCTGATGGGTCTGAGGCACGGCCGGCGTGGATCCAGGAAGATAAAACGCAGCCCGGCCGTCTATAAGTACGTGGCTTTTTATTTGCTGCACATCCGTGCGTTGGCCTTTGCTCAAATACCCACCCGTCCACTTACACACACAGATTGCTTCATAGACTGGAGTCTCGGAGCTTAGCAGCTCAGCGGTTAGAGCCCTCGCCTCGCAAGCGAGAGGACCCGGGTTCGATTCCCGGCAGGGCATAAGTTTCCTTATGCTTACCCATACCCAGCAGTAAGTAGGAACCCGGTTGTTAGCCGATTGGCAGATCGCTTTTCCGGGGGTGGGGGTGGGGTGTGTGGGGGTAATAATCACTCCAAAATACAATTTGGTCACTCAATCCGTGACTGTTTGTGGGACGCTGCTGTGCGCAATTGGCTGCTGCGTTTCGCCCGCAAACCATACAGTCAATTCACTTTACAGTGTGTTCTGTGAAGCGCTTTGAGACGTCTAGAAGACGTAATAAGGCGCTGTATCAAATGCGAGGATGATTGTCTTACATAGTATTATACAGCATCTGCTCTCAGTCTCTGGAGTGTCCCTCTCCCTCCATCGTTGAGACTCTGCCCTCTGCTCCCCAGCCCTGTGCCCTGTGCTCTGGCCACCTCCCCTCGGTTACCTGAACACCTGTCGTTCACTGACTGACGTTTACTACCTCATCTCCTCGCATGGGGCAGTGTGATGGAGACAGAGTAAAGCTCCCTCTACACTGCGCGTCCACACTCCCAGGTCAGGGTTAGCGACACAGTAAAGCCCCTCTACACCGTCCCTCCACGCTCCCAAGTCAGTGACAACACGTGTAGATCGGTAGGTGAGGGCCAAGGCTTGGGAACCCCAGAGTGTGCAAGGGAGGGAGGGGGTTGGTGGGGGGTGTAACTGCTGGGGTTTAACCAGATAAATTGGCACAGTTTGTGGAGAATCAGGAAAGCGGAGATGAAAATGGCAAAGGAGTCTTCTTTATAATAATCCCTCCAAAACCAAAAACAATAATAAATTGGTCATTTTCAATCTACGACTGTTTGTGGGACATTGCTGTGCGCAATTGGCTGCCGCGTTCGCCCACAAATATACAGTCAATTCACTTTACACTGTGTTCTGTGAAGCGCTTTGGGACCTCCTCCCGACGTGAAAAGTGCTATATCAAATGCAAGGATTATTATTATTATTGGCGTCAATGGCGGTCAAACCCAGTGTCAGGAACTCTTTCTCTGTGTGAACGCGCCTGAGGCTGAAGCTTTATTCCCTGTGTCTCTCTGTTGATTCCTCACATTCCTTTGGCAATGTAAGCGACTGGCGAGGTCTGGACCCTCCCCATGAAGTGTTCCCTCCCCCCCCCACCCCCCACCAACCCCCTCCACTCCCGCTCTGAGCCCGATGGTACAGCCTGGGACGTCCACCTCTACAAGCGCTATATCAAATGCAAAGGATTATTATTATTATTATTATTTAGGCAAATCTCCTTTGATGTTATCACGCTGGTTGTATTGTGGCTTTAACCCACCAGATGGCAGAAGTGTACTGGGTATGTGCTGTGCAGCACTCGGGACAGAGCACAAACACACAGGTCCAAATAGAGGACAATTTGTATATGTGTGTGTGTGAGTGAGTGAGTGTGTAAGGGCCTTGGGAGCTTATCTCTGAGGTGTATTTATTGTGTTTATATCCAGTATGGTTCTGTCTGTCTGCCTGTTCAGGTGAACGTTATAATAAATATAATTATAATAATCCTTGCATTTGATACAGCGCCTTATCACGTCGTTGAGCATATAAAGTGAAGTGAATTGATTGTATATTTTGTGGGCCAAGTGTTGAAGGTCGCCCGGCTCTGTTGGAAACGAGAAGGGAGTATCTCTCTCCTGACGTCCTGGCCAACAATATCCCCCAAATAAGAATTGGTCGGTCATTTCGCGGCTATTGCGCAAATTGTGCTCCTGTGTTTTGCCCACAAACACGCGGTGACTCGCATTTTCGCGGTGAATCCCACGAAGCGCTTTGAGACGTCTTTCTGACGTCTGTGCCAAATGCGAGGATTGTAAGGGGTTATTGCTGTTGTGTCGTGTACAGTCTCTCGCTCAGTTATTGCCTGTGAGTGAGTTGATGGTGGATGGTCGGAGAGGAAAGCACTGGGTTTAAGGCGTGTTGGTTATTTCTGGTCCACGTGCTGCATAAAGTCTCGAGTTCTGTGTCTCCCTTCTCCCCCCCCCCGCCCCCCCATCCTCTCCTCTCCCCGCACCTCCAGCTGCTCTCTGTTTGTTCCCACACTCACGCTCTCCCAGGGCGCTGACGTGCTCTGCTCCTGACCCTGTATTGGCCTGTGTTGTGTTTCCATCGACGTTTGCAGGCCCCAGTGAGAGATTCCTATCACCGCTCCCCCCCCCCCCCCCCCACCGCAACCATCGAATGATGTGGTACGTCGCTACATCAAATGCAAGGATTAGTATTATTATTATTTTAACTGCCAGAGGAAGCATTTTGGAACAAGTCAGTGTGTGAGGGAGGGAGTGTCCGAGGGAGGAACGTGAGTGTCCGAGGGCGGGAGTGTCCGAGGGAGGGAGGGGGGTGAGTGTGCGAGGAAGGAAGGGGTGAGTGTGCGAGAGTGGGAGGGAGGGAGTGAGTGTGCGAGAGTGGGATGGAGGGGGTGTGGGAGGGAGGGAGTGTGCAAGGGTGGGGAGGGAGGGAGGGAGGGAGGGAGGGGGGTGAGTGTGCGAGGAAGGAAGGGGTGAGTGTGCGAGAGTGGGAGGGAGGGAGTGAGTGTGCGAGAGTGGGATGGAGGGGGTGTGGGAGGGAGGGAGTGTGCAAGGGTGGGAGGGAGGGAGTGTGCGTGCGAGGGAGGGAGGGAGGGAGGGAGGGAGGGAGAGAGGGAGAGGGTCAGCCTGCTCTGGATGTGAGCGGCAGTCAGCGCAGTGTTTGGGTTTGGGTTGAAGGGCTGTTTGTGAAGCTGAAAGTGTGAGATGGGGAGGAAGTGCTCGGCTCGGCTCGGCTCGGCTCAGTCACCGGCTGCGTTCGAGAATCTCGTGTGGTTTTGATGATTCATTGAGATGCTATTTAGCTTCCGAGGCTGCAAACCCTGCGGTGCACTGAGCAGCCCGAGGGCCCGCGAGGGGACATCAGCACAGCACAGCACCCTCTCACCTCAACTCCCTCCCTCGCTCCATCACTCCATCCCTCTCCCTCCTGCTGCATACTGCCCTCAGTCACACACGCTCTAACCCCCCCCCCACACATATTACACGCTCTAACCCCCCCATATTACATGCTCTAACTCCCCATATATCTCATGTTCTACCCCTCATATCACATGCTCTAACCCCCTCCATTATAACACACTCTAACCCCCCATATCATACACTCTAACCCCACATATTACACACTCTAACCCCCATATCACATCCTCTAACCCCCCCCTTATATCACATGCTCTAATCACCTGATATCACACTCTCTAACCCCCCCATATCTGATGCTCTACCCCCTCATATCACATGCTCTAACCCCCTCCACATATAACACGCTCTAACCCCCACATATCACACTCTAATCCCCCCCATAACACATGCTCTAACACCCCACTTCACACGCTCTAACCCCACGCATATCACACTCTCTAACCCCCCCCATCTCACACGCTCTAACGCCCCCCCCTCGCCATATCACACGCTCTAACTCCCTCCCCCAGCGATACAGCTGCATTCTCACCCCTTAACAGACACGTACATGAGAGCGACCGAGATTGCGAGAAGAGAGATAAGAATGAGAGGTGGGGGTGGGGGAAAGGGTGAGTGAGAGAGGGGAGAGACATACAGAGAGAAGAGAGAGAGAAAGAGAGAGTGAGTGAGAGAGAGGGGGGGAGAGAAAGAGAGAGAGTGAGTGAGTGAATGAGCGAGTAGCAGGAGGGATTAGCTCGGAGAGGAAGTGCGGTGATGTATTCGGCAGTGAGTGAGTGAGTGAGCGAGCGAGCGAGTGAGCAGTGTGTAATACGAGGCTGTGCCCCAGTGGGGAGTGAGCACACAGAGCGCCGGAGGCAATTTCTCACTCACTCGCTCACCGAAACCAACCCCTGGCAGGTCGTAACTTTAATTTCTCTCTCTCTCTCGCTCTCTCTCTCTCTCTCTCTCTCTCTCTCTCTCGCTCGCTCTCTCTCGCTCGCGTTTGCCGAGCTCTTCCTGTAGTTTTTGCTGTAGTTTTTGGTTTTGCTACTTTGCTTGGAGTTAGAAATCACCGTCGTTAGGTTCTGGTTCTCAAGAACAGTGAGTCAGGCTGTTTGGTTTTGAGTCAAGGTTTCCCCGCGCTGTAATCTAACAGGCTTTAAAAGTCAACTACAGCCTGACCCTGTCTGTCTGTCTGTCTGTCTGTCTGCGCACAGTTTTGTCTTGTTTTGTTTTTACATTCCCCCCCCAACCCCCCACCCCTTGCAACTAACACCGCTCCCCCAACCACACCCTAAGATATGAGTGTGCAGCACAGGTGAGGATTTCCTTTGGTGCCCTCACCCCTTCTGCCATTCATTTCCCATTCCCCCATTCCCCCTCCACCCCCCCCCCCCCCCCCTCCCCCGCGCCCCCCCCATCCTAACTCTCTCCCACAACGTAAAACTCAGGTGGATGTTAAGGATTTCCCGCGACGTTATTGGAAAAAAACGAAGACAGTTTCCCTCTCGCGTGGTGTCCAGGCTGATAATTCCTCCCACACCCGCCCCCCCACTGCATTACCCCCCCCCACTGCAATACCCCCCCCCACTGCATCCCCCCCCACTGCATTCCCACCCCACTGCATCCCCCCCACTGCATTCCCCCCCCCACTGCATCCCCCACCCCTACTGCATCCCCCCACTCCTACTGCATCCCCCACTCCTACTGCATCCCCCACCCTACTGCATCCCCCCACTCCTACTGCATCCCCCCACCCCTACTGCATCCCCCCACCCCCACTGCATCCCCCCACCCCCACTGCATCCCCCCACCCCCAATGCATCCCCCACCCCCACTGCATCCCCCACCCCCACTGCATCCCCCCACCCCCACTGCATTCC